ATATTCATATTTCGTCATTCATCTTTACCCGTCGAAGACTGTAGATCTAACAGTCGAAAGCTCGTATATCTATAAACATTTTTAGCCAGAGATCGTTTTCAAATTTTTATTATGCTCAACCCTGGCTACGGTCCTTCAACATTTTTAAAAACCTAGGTTGGCTTACTTTTGATTTTGCCGCCATTTACCGAGGTTTGGTACTGTGTTCACTTCAGTAAAGTTAAAACAAAACCAAGATAAACATCTCTCGTGAAAACAAGGGCTTAATCCGTCGAGCGTGATTGTAAATAACAGCAAGGAAAAAATGGCGGCTCAAAAAATCCTAGGGGCAAGAAGAGCACGAAATTACGGCCGGACAAAAATGTCCGGTCATCCAACGATTTGACCGAACACAATCAACTGACCGAACAAAATCAACTGACCGGACAAAATCAACTGACCGAACATTGTGCGTTGATCGACCGTTATTTCAAGCCCTGACTATTAGTAAAACGCGTTAAAATAAGTAAGCTTATCTTTACGGAGCACGAAGTAGACTTACCGCGGGTGGGTACGTACTACCTTGTACTTCGTTGAGATCAAGAATATCAAGATCGCTGAAGCGTTTTCCTTTTAGCACCATTGAACCCACTGAACCATCCAGTTCCATGCACGTCAAGGCTGCCCCTCCATTCAATGCAGACGCCACAAAATCCGCAGGACCAAGGGTTTCCATCTTTTTCCCGGCTTTACTCTTTCCAATCTTCGTGCAGTTGTCGGAAAAAAACAAAATGGCGGCACGGCCACAGCTCCGCTATTGCGCACATCTCACGTCACAACCGCTGACCAAACCGTAGTGAACCCAAGTGATCAGTTGTCTTCGCACAGACCCAGGGCCAGTCACTGGGGGCGGGGAGAAGTCTAACCTATGCCCCTGGGTCTCCGAGGATGTTGTCTTCTTTCTTTATATATACCCCACACAGTTCGAGCATTTAAAAATAAATAAATGAATAAATGACCTAAGTCACGTCAGGGGATTAAGCAGTATTCTCCCAACTCTGAACACTGCAAATAAACAAAATTACTGTCAACTGGCTATGTACAAAGCAGTGAGATCACAGATAACTGAGTGGAATTTAGGATTATTTTATTTGCGATCGTTAAATCGCAAGTGTTCCGTAATTGTGTTTCTCGATCGATCGCATCTTTTGTTCGGGTTCTAGCATCATGCATGTTTGCACAAATTTTAGTACGGTCCATTTAGGGTATTCCATGGGTAGGGTAGTCCATGGACAAGGTCCATCGAGATAGCCCATGGACTAGGGGTCAGCGAAATATGCCTCATGTGGCCACAGGGAGCGCACAATCTTGCTGAGTAGGGAGAAAGTAAATAAAAGAACGAAAAGAATGAATAGTTTGCCTTGGTGTCCTGCTCTCATCTCTTGCGCGCCGTTACAGGGAAATCCTCTACTTTCAAGTCCTGCGTATACAACAACAACAACAACAACAACAACAAGCTTTATTACCAAATAAAAAAAAGTTAAACTTTACAATATAATATATTAACACTGTAGCGTTAAACTCGTACCTAGGCTTTTTCGTGCTCTGCAATTTTTTTTTTTTGGTTTACATATAAACATTGTTGTTTGTATGTTTATACGTAGACCAAAAAAAAAATTGCAAAGCGCGGAAAAGCCTAGGTACGAGTTTAGCGCTACAGTGTTACACAGGACTTGTAAGTAGCGGTTTTTCCTGTAAGGTAGCGTAAGAGATGACAACAGGAGACAAAGGTAGACTATTCATTCTGTTTGTTCCTTTATTTACTGTCTCCCTGTTCAGCAAGATTGTGTGCTCCCTGTGATGTGGCTACGGAAGCGTTCTTGGCCTCACGCCCTACTGGGGGACTTATGTGAAAGGGCCTGGGAGCAAGGGTACCTCCCATGATCCTCTTGCAATGAATTGAATGATTTAGAATTGAAAGGACGCAAAAGATTAACCGTTTATATTTTATGACTAAATAAGCCTGAAGGATGCCTCTAAATGCGGTTTGAAGGACAAATGTAGCCCTACGATCAAGGTGAGAAGAAAATATCTTAATTTTGCGTAAAGAGATACGGATATTTCTGAAAAGACCAGGAGTGGAAACATCGTTTGTCAAATTCCCTGCTGTTCGAAAACGTTTAATTAGTTTTAGATCACAAACTAGGTGTAAAGTAGGGTGTTTCCTCTTGAGAGGAAAACTAGTTTTGTTTGAAAAAAGCCGACGTTTCAAAGAGAACGCTTCAGTAACACTTTAGTATATACTGAATTTTGTTATTTAAACAGTGAAAAAGCTTACCAGCTGTACTGCTGGCAGGTGCAAGCAATATGAATGGCTGTGTTCGGATTTCATCAGATGATGATCCTAAACTAAAGCGCCACCAACATTTTAATCCTCATCAGACATAAGAGGCGGTATATTTATATCTGTTTGAAATATTACAGCTCAATAGCGTGCTTCGTTTGGAAACCAGAACGTTTTAAATTTCAGGGTTATGGAGGTGCGTGACGCAAGGCTACGATCGAGTTTGTTGAAAAATGAATACTTGTCTTATGATTTTGAGCCTTTTTAGAAGTTAGAGCATTAGGAAAGGTGCTTATGTAAATGCTTGTTTGTTCAACTGACAGTCGGTCGCCTAGATAGCCAAAGTACATGTAAGTTCCAGATGTTAACACTATTTTCCGGCCGCCATATTGGTGTACCACGGATGTACACCAACATGGCGTTTTCATACTGGGCTCTGTAAATTT